TAGGCTTACCAACTTGTCCTGAAACTTTTTTGGCAAAGAATGATAAAATAAACAGCGTAAACTGTTAAAAAAATATAATTGCTCTGATATACGATTGGAAAATAATAATAATAATAAACATTTATTGTATTTCAAATTTACATATCAAGTCGTTTTCTCCGATATCATTATCCTTAAACAAGAGAATATAGATGTAATAATTACTCTTGTACTAAACAAAACCGTTTGACACGATTAAATTACAAATCGATAACAATTTTGATGAAAAATGTATGTGCACTTTCAAATATTATTTTACCTGCGCAGTGGAAGTTTGCGCATTCTATACCAATATATATATATATATATATATATATATATATATATATATATATATATATATATATATATATATATATATATATATATATATATATATATATATAAACAAAAAGATACTGTAACAAAATTAAGCAGATGCGCATTTAGTTTAAGCCATTTGTAGGTTTGTGTGATTACATGTTTCATTATTGGAATTCGGTGCAATTGGAAATATTCCTTAGCACGAAATAAGTAGTCCATTATTAGGAGCAAACGTCACGGAAAATGTTAGTAAGTTTCTAAGATTCCATGGTCAATGACTAGCGAACTCAGACCCAATCCGCATGACTGTCCTTGTTGTGATGTGTCACTTTATAAAACCTAGTGGTGTACATCGGTGTGGTGACTGCATCGGCAGAATTTATGGTAGGAAACCGGTAAATTACACAATGCAATAAATGAGAAAGGACTTGGAAGATACCGTTTTATGTCGCCATTGTGGCAAATGTGATGTAGGTTTACTGGTGTGATGTGCCTTGAAACGGTAGATCGACTGGTCTCAGGTGGGCAGTTAAAATAATCCCCCGTGTTAGGGATAGTTGTAGAGTTTCTACGGTGTGAACTACGAGCGGAACGGAGAGTTAATATAGAGAAACCGTGCGGATGTGCGGTTGATGGTTATTTGGAAAGTTGTATATAATGTGGTCTTACATTAATTATTGTAAAATTTATGTATAGAATGGACACGTCGGGCTTTCCAACTTACAACTAAAGTTGTATAGAAGTCTTTGTAAATATGGGGTAAACTTATGACTTCTAGCGGGATTCGAGCCAGGGTTTTGACACCGCTCGGTCAAGCAAAAGACCCCTGGCTTGTAACAATACTATCATCTAGGTATTAAACAACTGTGTTTTGTGTTCAAGGATTTAGGAATAATTTTATTTAAACATCTACATATTGTTCACCAAAATTACCTAACACATTGATGTCAATCTGTATTTGTTAATGGTATTCTAACTACTCCTCAACTAATTGAACTTTATCATAAAGTATGTCTCTCTCACGATTGAGCGAATTTAACATAATTATTGTTCCATTATGTCATCAAAACTTTTTACAGCGTATGGATAAAGGGATTAGTTTATAAACTTTACAAAATATGGAACTACTGGGAAAAAATATATCATGGATGGAAAGGCACTTAACATATTCTTACCGGAATGTCTTCTACCGAAATTCACCATCAGCAACATAACTTTATATCAGCGATATTACAAACAATTTTGAAATTGCTTGCAATGTTATTTGCAGATGGTACTTGTATTATTAGTATGAACAATGTTTTTCAAAAACCCATGGGCAAAATACCGACAGTGTAGTTTTAATTCTTCTGAAACTGACATTTATTAATAACAGACAAACTCATTTTTCCTTTCTTAAATTTTCTTTTCTTAATACGCATTTGCTACCTGTCAAAAGTCAAATACAGCAGGGACAAACATTATCTTCCAGTGCCAGACAGATTAATCATTTTAGAAAGATTATTCAGAACGCATCTAAATATTCATCGGTAAATATTTATCTTTGCAGAGAATATCTCTAAATAAACTATATTTTTCTTGTTTTGACTTTAAACTCTTAGGTCTTTCCTATATGCATTTTTGACCACCTAGTTTTCACATATATGTTACAGTTTTATAAAAATGAATGTCGTCTTTGGAGAATTATTAGGGAAACTTCAGAAAAGAGATATATGAGTTAGTTAACTCTTGCCTAGTCCATTATTATTTAATAAAACTACGATTACATAACAAAACAAAAGACACGTGTAATTGCAGCCATAAGCGCAGCTAGAATAAGATACCAGAATTGCTCAGACGTTTCGATTCAGGAATAATAATAATAATAATAATAATAATAATAATGATTATGATGATGTGATTATTATTATTATTATTATTATTATTATTATTATTATTATTATTATTATTATTATTATTATTATTATTATTATTATTATTATTATTATTTCACGTAAACTGTCCTGACTAATTCAGACGGGTGAAAAATGTTCGCAGTTATCTGCGTACATGTTATGAACAAATGTATGAGGAAACATCGACAGGATTGCGTTGTGAGGTTCCTCATTTCATTTAGACCATATGCTCTTTGATTTCTCAGGTGCAGAACTGTACACATTCCTTACATGTATGTTCTATATCGGTCTTAGGTCGGGTAAGACTTAGTCGACAGCGTCTCGAAGGACTCTCCAGTTCCCTGTTGAGATGTAAGGGTTGACGAGTTTGTCATTGAATTAATTCAGAATTTGATTCTTGACGTTATTCTTTCCTTTCTAAAGTCATCAGTGTCACCAACATATTGGATGGCAAAGATTGTGCATGCTAAGCGATAGATTACATTCGCGGTTTAACGTCATATTTCGGATTGACACTCAATCTATCTATCTATCTATCTATCTATCTATCTATCTATCTATCTATCTATCTATCTATCTATCTATCTATCTATCTATCTATCTATCTATCTATCTATCTATCGCATGGTCGGAAAGGAGGAGGGTACAGGGTTTCATGATCACTCAACCCCGTTAAAAAAATAACAATCGTACACACACACACACACACACACACACACACACACAGTTTAATTCTCGCTCACATTTAATGGGTATTATGCAAACTTTGAGTAAATAGACACATAGACTTGCTTTGTTACCTTTTCGAGGATAGTCGGAGTCCTTTTAAAATTTTGTATAATAAAAAGCAGCACTTGATCGAATCCAGCCCTCTGTGTGTGTGTGTGTGTGTGTGTGTGTGTGTGTGTGTGTGTGTGTGTTCTGAACAAACGTTGCCATCTATATTGTACACCCTAAAGGAGCACAACTCTGCATATCTTCATTAATTTTGCTTTGAATTTGTTTTTGTTTGATTAAAAATTCGAAATGTCAAAGCAAAAGTTAAAATAAGTCTTAATTTCGATGTAAAATGGCTGAAAATGGCATTATTCTTCTTGGATTTAGGTCTTCATACTTACTTGGAGCTACGAGATTTTGCGGTAACAACCACAGTTGTTCGAATATGTACACAGAAAGCAAACAAGTTTTACTTCAATTATCCTTGTAATGTCAACTGTTTTATATATACTTTATGGGTAATAATGTTGAGCATTTACAAAAACAACAATTATCTAGGCTTATATTTTGTTTGGGTTTGTTTTCACAATATTATATTGTGCCCTTATAACCTGGTATTTGCTGACGATAATTTCAAGCTTTCACCGGTATCTATGTTACGATCATAAAAGCAAACAGAGGGCACAGAATTTGACGTAATGGCTACACGGGCAGTATAAAAAAAAACATTACGGATCAACGAAAAATGGATGGCCCCTATTAAACTGGTCGAGTGTCTAATCATTCATATGTAATGTCAGATATGCCTTCAAACGTTTTCAATTTAATCAAATAGGCCCTGGTTCTTTAAATAGAATTACAAATATAATGTTCACTTCAGAAATGAACAACAAGTACTTGTGATACGAACCAAAAGGAGCAAGAATGTTTTCCATAACGAAAGATAGCTGTTCCGTCAATTAAATTATCAATTTCACTTTCTTCACATCAACACACTCAGTGCCAAAGTCTCCTATGGAACCAAACCGAAGTATGTCACTCTGGAGATTAAGTTTTCCAGCCTTACAACGATGTTCATTTTGAAAGCGAGAGTTTTTCATTTACCACCGCGAAACCTTCCTATATTTTGATATACCTTGAAATATATTCTCTCATACGCACTAAAAAGGTCTATACAATGACATAATGTCACCGAAAAGTGTTAATACACTAAAACTTGTCGACCAAAGATCACTGATAGAGAGAGTTGAGATAGAGTAACACTTAACCAGACCACCACGACACCTCTCTTGAATTGAAATGCATTGCTTAATAGTTAGTGTTAGAGAAAATCAGATGACGGACTTCAAACATTCTCATCAGTACATTACCTGTAAATTGCCTAATCTACGCAAAAGTTACGTGATGAGTTCCTTGTTTGTCGTTTTTTAGAGTCTATTTTAGTCCAAAATGCAAGCGGTTAAAAAAATTAGCGAAAGTTATTTCAATTTTCTGATACTTTAATCTATGATTTAACGATTGTGACCACCGTTCTCAGTTTAACCTCAAGAGTCTGTAGTTTTATCAATAAAGCACGACGAAATTTCTGACAACATGAAATCACCTTAATGGTATTATAAAATAAGTCTTAAACTGGTCTAAGCTTTATATTATACAACCTTTTAAATATCTATAGATTGTGTGTGAGTTTTAATATAACCCCCAAGTAAAACAAAATGAACCAAAGTAGTGCAGATAATTTAAAGTACAAAACTTTCCTATACTAAGCGTGTCATTTTGATTATTTAACAAAGCTGTTAACATATTTTTCAGTCATATCAGCGTCTGACACAATCGCTTGCGGGAGTACGGTATACCGTGTCAAGTGATAAACAGGCTGACATAGTAGACACAGTTCCTATTGAAGAGCCTGGCTCGAGTCGGATGGGGTGTCATGGCCCACCGATTAACGTTACCTTGACACCAGGCCAACCAATCCTAACACTAACTTCCGAATGCACGTCGCCTTAGGAGGCAGATGTAAGTACCTTTTTATTAGTCCTTGGTTTGACTCGGCCGGGGTTTGAACCCGTGACCTTCCGCATCGGATGCAGACGCTCTAGCCACTTAAGCCACAGAAGTGCATTGAACAGCAGCTGACCAAAGGTGAAGAATTTGTCCGTCGCAGCACAAAAAAAGTTCAAAATTATTTTCACAATATAAATGATGACACAAAACTGAAATTGTATTAATTCAAGGGCTTTCGGAGATGTGATAGAAATTTAACATAAAATCAACAGTCGTATTAATAAGAAGTAGCGTGCCTGTTTACAACAGTGGATGGACTGAGAATATGGTTAACACTTGTCGTACTAAAGTTATGTAACAAAGAGGTAACGCGTGTCTCTGTGTATCTGTTTACTACATTGAACCGACTGAAACTGTGATTAACGCTAGCGGTAGTATAAAAATAGAAAAAGAGAAAACAAATCATGATTTGTCAATTTTAAACAATAAAAAGATATCCACAGTGTTTCAGAAAAATCCAAAATCATGAATAAAAAATATGTCAAAGGTCTAATATCATTCCCTCTTTTTCAAAGGATTGAACAAATTTTGAAGATTGATGAAAATAAAAGTTTACTTTGGAGATGAATCTGTTGTCATGTATCATCACCTCAAGACTTTGTCAAGCATACGATTCTCACGACATGTTTGTATAACATTCTAAATGGTTGGCATCGAATAGCAACACAAAAAAAAACGGCATTTAAGGCATCACCAACTTATTCAAACGCCAATCAATCATTTGGACAAATTAGATGGAAAAAAACCAGAAAATAAAATGCTCGGAATTGACAGAATGGTAAACTGAACATTTTATCCGCACCTTACACAAGCAAGGTAGATAGATATGTTCATTCATATTGAAAGTTATGATAATTAAGTAAATGATTAGTTTGAGGAAGATATTATTGGCATGCAAAGAAATGAATACTACAGGAAAAGAAAAAAGATTTAAATTTTTTATAAACAAAAATACGTCTTTACTGTGTTAGATGTTTTCTCAAAGAAGGAGTTTGCAGGGAAAAGTAAAACCAAGAAGTGGAGATAACATACACGATACGTTTACTGAAATCCTCAGACAGAATATCTTAAAGGATACAGTTTGATGAAGGATGAAAGTTTTGAAAAAGGAAAGTTACAAATTTGTTGGAAAATGAAAAACATCGAGTAAATTTGTTTACTCAGCCAGATAACAAAAGTCTGTCATGAAAGATTTTAAAGACTACAGTGTGGAAATGTTACAATCAAAAGGAAGCTTGAAAAAGTTTGATGTTTACAGCAGCTATTTGATGGAAAAAGAATAACATTCAACACCTCAATATGCGTGAATCGCATGAAAACGAGCAAGGAAAACATTCTAGTGGATGCTTTAATATATTTGATTATTTGACACCTGATACCTTTGAAATTACCAAATTCAAAACCAGTAAAACGGGCAGATTTCCAAATTACAAAATGCATATTTTCGAATGCATACTTTCCTAACATTGCTGTTGAAATGTGAAAATATACAAAGACATTTTAGCTAATACAGACATTTACGAACGAGAAGATTTTAAAGGAGAGGGTACAAAGAACATGTTTTAACGAACAAGACTTATCTCTATACAACAAGCGAAGACGACATATACAATGTCGAAAAGATTTTGAGGACAATAAAACTGGAAAATGAAAAGTAAATAAACATCAATAATATACGTAGGTGGATCTCTACAGTTTCGTATTTTGCATAGCATTGCCTCACAGGTTATACTGGCTCTTTAATAAAGACCTTGTATAACTATTATTCAAAGAACCTTTTATTCCTTTTATTTTGGTGTATGACTTATATGTGTATTATGAGTTATAGAGTATATAGATTGGTCTTACTTTAGACGTATACCTCTCAAAAATATGCTAGCTCCGCATGATTATTTTTACTTCACTTTCTGGACTTCAGAAGTAAATTGTAACAACAGAGCCAATAAGTTTAATTTTTTAATGCTCTTTTTGTCTTGTTTTTCACATTTCATATATTGGGAAATACATTTGTTGCACTTTTAGAAGCTGGTATTGTCTAGTCTTTCGAAATTAATTTTCCCTGATTTAATAACTGCTAGTGTACTTTAGACTAATTCATGCTGATTTTTTAAGCACATAAGAGTATTTTTGTTTAATTAGCTGTATGCTTGGGTCATGTACAGTTTCCACAAGTACAATAAGAAAAGAAACTTTATTTACAGTACATGTAAGTAACATTTGAATATACCAAGAATGTCAGGAGATACAATCTTCATCAAGACTAATTTCAGTTCCTTTTTGATGAAAAATTGTAAAAGATCATGAAACATTAATTCTACAAGAAAAGAATAAACTCTTTGTTATTTAATGCGGGAAATTGATAATAAACGTCTCCACAAAAAAAAATATTCTTTTGATCTTAGAAAAAAATTTAAATAATGTCACTTTTTCATGAAAATTGTCATTACAAATTCATGCAATATTTTACATATAAAATAGT